GTACAGTCAGAACACATGCGAGAGAGAGAAAAAGGAGGAGAAAAAGAGTGCCGCAGTCCCAATAGGACCCAAAGGAACATCACTCCATGCAGTCTGGAGACCCAGAATCACAGCTGTGGAGTGTGGAGTCAGCTGAGCAACATCTCAGTGAGGGACATTTTCTTGAAAGAACTTCTGTCAGCACCATCAATGTAACAACTGTGGAATATGAGTTCAAATCTAGAATTTTAAAGTGGCATCAAACATCAAAATGTGAAATTTACAATAGACAACATGAATTTAAGTGATTAGTACTTCAGAAAGGGTTCCCCAAAACCTCTGACCAATGAATTTCCATCCCATTTTCCAGTCATCTGCCTGCTCCATAAAAAACATGTTCTTTGTATTATACATTTACTGAATATTTAGAAATTCGCCATTTTTCCAAACTTATCCAGATCTGCAAATGACTAAATAAGCTTTGTTAACAGCTGCTCAGACAGTCCTCATCATCTCCATGAGAGATGCATCATATATCACCAGTATCACTAAAGTCTTTTCACTGTTTTGAGTATCTCATCTGTTTCATTTTGCTTTGGTTTAATGAATGAACTGCCACAAGACTGAAGTGAGATAACAGACTCCACCCCCACCTCCCGTCTAAATCAACATTCTGCTGCCTGGCAAATGTATTTGTGAACACTAATATGGACTCTAGCTCGGTATGCGCAGTTAAGGAACTTTTCATATGTGTGCTTTTTCTCCCTTGTCTGTCTTGTTTTATTATACAGTCTGGACAGTACTGGATGTCTTGAGTATAGTAAAGCTGTCCCACACAGGAATTTACCTTAAGAGGCCCATTTATTTATGAGACAGAATAGCAAACATTTGGATCAGAATGAGGTGGCCGCTATGCCTGTGCAGACAGATGGACAAACTGCAGCAGGTTGTACTGATGATAAAGCTAATGCTGTGATAAATGAATTCATGTCCATATTTTTACATTTATATTTATTAAGATTTTTTTTTTTTGTAGCAATTTTTTTATTACATTTTCAGGGATTTGGATCAGGCCTGGATCTATTCAAGCGAGTGTGACATACAACACTGAGCCTCCCCTAAGTGCAAAGAGGAGTGCAGCACTCAGAAAAAGCATTAGGACTGAATCCAGGTGCGTGATGAAACCAAAGCCTTCATATTTTTCCAACAAAATATCTTTGCAAAGCATAATATTTTTCTCAAAAAAGCAGAAAATATTTTTCTGTTTGCCAGTTTAAGATCTGCTGTTTCTCTCTAGCTTTTGATCAAATGTGTGGGGATAATGCTGAGGGAATTGAGGGATTTGGTACCACACAATATCACTGCATCGCCCATTTGCTATCATTCATCTCCCTAGAGGAAGTCCATTCGCTGCCAGTACATTCCTCTAAAAGCTTTCTGATTTACTCAACTGGCCATCGCTGCAGAGCCCTTCTGGAGAGTGAGGAGGAAGCCTGCTCCTTATTAAAACCGTCTTTTTATCGCCTTTTTACAGCTGAGAAAAATAACCACATGTTCCTGAATCTGAGCATTTGAAAGTAAAGGTTTTCACTAGAGGAAAAGAAACGCATTGCTCTCTGTCTGCCTTGAAGGTGACTCCATGAATTGCTTCTAGATTCTCTTCCTCCTCTCACTCCCATCACAACGAAGACAATATTAGAACCCTAATCCAGAGGTTTCTTAAATGTTAAAGAGTCTTTCTAATATGCTGATTTGTAGCTCAAGAAACATTTCTTATTACTATCAATGTTGTGCTGTTTAATATTTGTGTGGGAACTGTGATACATATTTTTAAAAGATTATTTTATGAATAGAAAATTCAAAAGAACAGCATTTATTTGAAATCTTTCGTATTGTCTTTACTGTCACTTTTAATCAATTGAATGTGCCCTTGCTAAATATAAGTATTAAAATAACATACTGACAACAAACTTTACTTCATACTTTTTACTATACCCGTTTTATATATTCTGTCGATTTTTTCAGTATTCTTTGATGACTGAAAAAAAACACCATTTATTTGAACTAGAAATCTTTTGTAACATTATAAATGCCTTACTTTCACTTTTTAACAGTTTAATGCTTTCTTGTTGAATAAAGTATTAATTTCTTATTAAAAAATCATACTGACCCCAAACTTTTGAACGGTAGTGTGTTTACATATCTTAACTAATTGGCTGCTTTTAAATGCATCTAAAGGCTATGAACCTGATATGTGTATGTCGTATATCTTCCACAACAAGGCAGAAATAACAGGATGAGAGTGAGAAGGAGAGACAGAGAAAGAGGGCAGGTATTTGCCAGATGCTGGACTCAGGATGTCCTGGGCACAAGAGAAGACAGAAAGAGTAACAGAGGAAACACAGGGGCAATTTCCTGTGCTGCCAATAAAATCTAAATCCAAGCGAAATTAATTTTTCTTATTTCCATTTGCATCGGATGTGCTTGAGGATTCATTACTTAATGTATTGGTGTTTACAATTCATTGTCTGTAAGATAAATAATATCTGAGTCCACAGGCCTCGACTGTCTCCTCCTCTCATTCTGAAGAACACCAGGGAGTTTACCAGAAACAAACAAAAGGAAACATCTTGAGAGAAAATACAGGTCTGCCATCCAGTGACCATTTCCCTTCGGTAGACACCACAATACACATAGTAAAATCTCCCTATTTCTGTGTCTCCCACATACATAAAAGTCAGTGTGTACTCACCTCATATTTTACCACAATTAATTTTCCGATTGGATCTCATGGGACAAACTTTAGCACAGTGCCAGTATGCCTTTTCCATAATACTAAAGCAAAAGGAAAAGTTGAGGAGGGTTATTATTTTCCCCCTTTCGTCTACCTGATTTAAAATACAACTGGCAGATTGAGATGGCAGGAGGACAGCTGCAGAATCATTGGCTGCAGGTCTGAGCTCAAATGTCAATCCCAAATATGAAGGACTGGATTTTTACATAACAATGACTTTGTTTTGACTGAAGGGAATGACAGATATAACTATTGCAGATCATAGCCCTTTTCTGTATCGCAACAGTCACAAAATTAGCTTTACTGCCAGCTGTCGTGATCATTTTTCAAGAGTTGTCCACTTACAAACACATCTATGTTTCTATATTTCACCCTAGATGGGTTGTTTGTCTTTTCTTCCGTGCAAACAGACCCTGCAAAACAACATCAGAGTCACTTTCCACTCTCCTAATGACTACCAGCTCTGCCGCTGTGCTTAGAGATCTTCTCTCTGACTCTACAACTCTGTGGTGGTTCTGCAGTGAAAATAAACAGGGATGTGCAAACAAAAGCAAACAAAAATGCAAAATGAATTACCAAAAATGCAAAAAAACAAATAAATAAAATTCACATTGACAAATAAAGAAATGGGAAGAGCTTTAAGCAGAAGCCCACAGATCCAAAGCCCTCCTTATGCCTCTGCCTGCAAAAAGCACGAGTTAGAGAGGCTTATGTAAGCATGTGGTGGAAATATTACCCACCGTCTTCATCCGTTAACACAACACCCCCATCTCATCACCACTGACCTTCGTATGTTCTTTTCTTTGTGCTATTTTATTTCACCCTGAACTCATATAAAGTCACTTTTTGACATGTAGAAGGTTACAACTAATTATTTAAACAAACAAAAAGATGTTTTAAAAATTTACAAAATTTAAAATCAGATATTAAATTCTATTTTTTTATGTTTACATATCAGATTCCGTTACAGAAACCCATTCCAGTTTATTAGCTGCTAATTTACAATTAATTTCATGACATAAATTATCTCATAACACAAGCAGCTGTGAACTACTGAACCAAGACCCCCTGGTGTAATCCAAAGAATTTCAGTTAAAGAGTCTGCCAACCCAGTGCTCACGGCCCAACAAAGAAATCATATCCACAGCAGATGTTTTTTACGAGGACCTCAGTATGCTGCTGTCCAGGTGAAACGTTTCTCCTGTGGAAATCAATTAGCGTCTCTACTCTCCAGATGTGAAACCACTGGCAGGTACTAGTGATTCTTTCTGAGCTCCTATTCATAAGTCTGACCTGTTTTAGGGGATATTGTGGTCTGGAACAAAAAGATGGTGAAACAGGTAGTGGACTCATTTTAACCGTCTGCAATCATCTAGAACCAAGGTCAAGGTCGGCATCTCCTGGATCTAATGTGCTTTTTTGCCAATTGCGGTTTTGCAGTGCTGGGGTTTGTTTGTATCTGCAAGTGACTGACATTCCAAAATGTTGTGGGGAAGAAACACTCAAATAGCATGCAATGCTAAAAATCAACTACAAAAGAACAAAAAATATTGGCAGAGCCTTTGATATGACTCACAAAAAGATCAAATGTGTTCAGGGCACTGTGTCATTCCACCATTGTCCTTCACATAACACGGCCATGACTCAGATATTTGTATCATGACAGGCGTTAAATACAAATTACATGTACTTTTTTAACAATATACTTTATGCTGTTTTATGCAAATTATAAAAATGTAATTTTTGAGGAAAAAAAACAACATTGATGGATAACGCAGTACTTGCTCCAGATCACAAACACATCTGTGTTTGATTTGGTCTAAAACTAATTTATAATAAAAATGGACATCAATGTTTCAACAGCCAAATTGCACCTTAACTACAGGAAAACCGCTATTTTTTCAGATATTTGCTTAGTTTTTTTTAAATAAGGTTGTATAAGCTAATGAAATCTACCAATGTAGGTTAGGTTTATTCTGTTTTGAAGTGCATTTACAGCAAACTATTAATTATAGGCCTACAAATTTGGTTTGCATTAATTATATAACGTTAGTTTGTTTGAACATTGTATTAAATTTGAGAGTGAACCCTAAGAAAAAGCAATCACATAATCTTATCAAAAATGCGAAGAAAAGTAGGCTATACAAAAGTGAATACATTCAGGAAATCAGTCACGTCCTTTGCAGGTTTGAAAAGTCTTACATTGCATTAGCGTAAACTTTCTTACCTTACTGGAGAAGAGGCATCGAACTTTATTGAGCGATGTTCTGGAGTGTTCTGTCCCGAGGACAATTAAGATAGCCTACTCGTACAGACGTATGTCCTTTTGTAAACTTCATAAACGTGTAAATAAATATTGAAGCTATGTCTTGCTCCCAAAGTGATCGCTAAGCCGGTGTGCGCGTAATCACTCTCTGTCTCTCTATCCTTTGCGCTGGAGAGCGCGCGACAGTGACAGAACCTCGAGACAACCGAGTCGCGAGTGCGCGAGGAGTGAGTGGGCACGCGCTTACGCCTATTGTATTCTCTCCCTCCCACTGTTTAGTTCTAACTATAGTTTTGTGTCTATTTAACAGTTTGGCATAAAACTCTCATTACAAAACATTATACAATACAATCTTAACATAGTTCATGTTTATTGACATTTCCATACACTGTTAAGCCCCGCTCACACTAAGAACGATAACTATAAAGATAACGATATTAGCGTCCACACCCGCAAACGATAACGTCCGTTTATTCTAAGCGCACGCGCGTCTGCCGCTTTAAATTTTTGAGCTCGTTACAACAGGATGGATTCTGATTGGCTGTCAATTTTTTTTATCGTTCTTCAGCTGGAGAAAAATCGTTGATTCCAACGATATCGTTTCTCTTTGTCTTTATCGTTATAGTTGTGGTGTGGACTCTGCTATTCTTTAATATTGAGAACGATTTTTAGAACTTTATCTGTATCGTTATCTGTATAGTTATCGTCCTTGGTGTGAACGGGCCTTTATACACTATAATGTTAGTAGCCTAATGTTCTGTTGAGATTTATACTGTTGTATGCTTGGGATTCCAGAGGCCCAATGATGTGTTAAAATAATGGGAGTAATTACGTAATGAACCTAATAATATTTTTCTTTTAATACATTACACTCCCTTTACGTTTAATAAAAATCAGTAGGCAAATGTTATTGAAATATGATCGTTTTCCCCTCTATTTTACCACAAAGTATTTGTAGAAATGTGACTATCCATTGTAGTTGTTTCTGTCAGTCAGGGGTCAAACATAAAATAAATCGAAATAATTAACTTGGAGGAGTTTATTATAGATAATATAGTTAATTTATTTATTTATTATAGCTACAGTAGTTAATTTATCCATCATTTAGCCTATCCCACGCCATCTCCGTGAGCACATATTAGAAATGTTCACAAGGGATTTTAAACCATTGTTCTTAGATTTTGATTTGGAGATTAAATAAAAAATATGATCTGAAACTGAAATAGGCCTACAATGATTGTCTGTTTTAGGATGGTCTGGAAAATTAAATTAGGGATTTGGTTAAAAAAATGGGGGAGTAAAATGGACAATTCTGGATCTGGAACATCAACAAAGCAGCCCTCTTTCTAAATTACTATTCAGAATGTCTGTTCAAAAATGGCTGGCCAAAAGAAGGCTTTAACAACTATGATTGGTAAGCCACTGCACTGAAGGGTCCGCGAGAATGGTTTCCTGCTGGCTTTAATGATAAGTGATGCTCCAGGACGTATTTCCCCTTCATGCATTGTATTAACAGATAACACTATAATTTGGGAAATAATCGAGAATGAAGGAAAACAGGGTTTCCGTCTTATTAAAACACTCAGCAAAAGATGGGCTGAGTCAGCATTAGCTTATCATCTGTCAGGGACTTCACTTGCACATTGTAGCCTAGGTCTTGAAATTCCCAAGGAGTTCCGAGAAATCTTGAAATAAGTACATAGAAATATTTGTGCATTTCTGAAAATGTCTAATGCGTCCCAAAAATATTTTATCACTATATTTTATACAACAGTTAGTTCCAGTAAACATGTCATTGAATCACTCACTCAATTATATCGTTCGACACTGATTTATTCAAGGAAACACCATTATACTCGTCTAAAACTGCTTAATATTATATTTTAATAATTACGCAATATTACACTTACAGTCAGAACCGGCTGAATAATGTCTATTTAAGAGTTTATCTTATTCATAACAATAATTATTGTATTATATATATTTCTACTGATTTAATGTCTGTCCAGTCTCAACCGCCAAGTCAAAATCTCGAAAGAGCAAACTTTTACCAAGCCAAAGCTGCTTCTTATCTAAATAAGATATATTTGAATAATGGTGACCCCTAGTGCTAAAATAAATCAGTGCATACATTCCCCTCCTTTGACTTATGGTCTTTGAACACTTTATTGATTTTCAAACAACTAGCCGTATCTAAAAGATTAAAGCTCTGAACGAGCGTAATAAATCCCAGGTGCTGCAGCACCACGCGATCGATTTGAGGCACATGTTATGCCAAGTAAAGGCTTTGTACCAGTGTACGGAATTTATCAAACGCGCTCTGACGGGGGAACAGTGCATTTGTGGACCTTTAGGCGATCCATACATCTGCTACTTGCGCAGCGGGGCTAACTTCAATATTCATTCGTCGCATAGTTACCGCTGACACGAGTCAAAATGCGTTTACCTTGGTTTATCATCTGTCTAGCACTGACCGCGTGGTGTGCGGAAGGCAGCGATGTGCTCGAGCTCGGCGACTCTGACTTTGAACGGAGCGCAGCCGTGCACGAGACTCTGCTGGTGGAGTTCTTCGCACCTTGGTTTGTCCCAGATATTATGTATTTGTTATAATTGTATAAAAGTGCAATTCCAGCTGCAGCCAGGTTGTAGTTTGGTTGTAATTAACTGTTTGTACAGTGACCAGAGCGTAAGCTGGGGTTTTCATGTTCATGTCTGGACTTAGTGAGAACAACAATGGTTGTTAATGCATGAATTTAAATTATGATATATGGATGTGCATGAACCTAAATTATGATGCAAATGCACAATTCTCTAATTTAAACAATAATAAATCCCAGAAACACTAGATTTTAGCTGCATTTGCAGTTAAATAGTACATTGCTTTAATGTATCGTTAACATTCCTCATATGATGTTACCACAGGTGTGGTCATTGTCAGAGGCTTGCTCCTGAATACGAGGCTGCTGCCACAAAGCTGAAAGGGACACTGCCTCTGGCAAAGGTGAGGATGGTGATGGACCCACCAGTTCTTATTACCCAGCTCAAATCTTCAGCCTCACTTATGCTACACAGATGACTCAATCTGCAAGATTCTGTTTTTATATATTTGTGTAGTAAATGTGTCTCTTTCCTGATGTTTGGTCGGGTTGACTGCACTGTGAACTCTGAGACGTGTGAGCGTTTTGGAGTGAATGGATATCCCACCCTAAAAATCTTCCGCAATGGAGAGGAAGCTGGATCTTATGATGGTCCCAGAACAGCAGGTTGATATTTTGTGTCCACACATACAGTACTATTCAAAAAGTTCGGAGTTGGTAAGATTAAAAAAAAAAGTTTTCTAAGGGTCTCTCATGCTCACCAAGGCTGCATCAAAAATACAGCTAATATATAATTAAAAAAATTATTTATGTGATGGCAAAGCTGAATTTTTCTGATCCTTCAGAAATAATTTTAATTTGCTGATTTGGTGCTCATGAAACATTTCTTGTTATCAATGTTGAAAACTGTTTTTCCGCTTGATATTTTTGTGGAAATCTATTATTATTTTTTTTAGGATTTTTTGAATCCTGTACAATTATGCATTTCCTTACTGTCACTTTTGATCAATTTAATGCATCTTTACTAAGTAAATGTTTTTTTTTTCTTTCAAAAATGTTTACTGATCCCAAACTTGTCAGTGTGTTTTCATATTGTTTTTGTTTTTTTGGCTAAAATTATTTTTGTGATCTGATCTGAAACAGATGGCATTGTGAGCTACATGAAAAAGCAAGCAGGTCCAAGTTCTGTGGCTCTGCTCAGTGAGGCGGATTTGGATTCTTTTGTCGACAACTATGAGGCCAGTGTGGTGGGTGAGTTGAGTTTGTAAAACCTGCCAAAACATCTTAAATCGCTCCTGCAGCAGAAGCTTAAAACACATCAGATTTGACTTCTGCATTTCTTTTAATCTCTCCTGGAACTGAAGGAAGCTCAAGTTCTCTCCTTTCTTGTTTTGCCCTCTTGTCTCTTTGCTCAGGCTTCTTCTTTGGGGAAGACAGTACACAGCTTGCAGAGTTTCTGAAGGTCTCCAGTGCCCTGAGGGATAGCTATCGATTTGCTCATTCCACTGATGTGGGAATAGGCCTGACATATGGGGTAGATGGAGAGTATGTATGACAGAGCATGAAGGAAACACGATCATTATCAGAAACTAAGATCGGTATTTCATGTTTAAGTATATCCCTGATGTTTCTTTTTTCATTTGCTGTCAGAAGTAGTGCTAACCAAAAATAGACTTAGCTCGAAAATTATATAGGCAGAAATATTTAGGCTCAAATATCATGCCATATGTGATAGCTTAGGTAATTTTAAGGTTAGCTATCCAAAGATGAACAGGTGTAAGGGTTATGCACACCTCACATAAGCTATGAAATGTCAGTTTTAATGACTGAAAATATTAATATTGGGTATATTAAGATGAACTGTACATTTTTAAATGTCTAAAATATTTTGAGCTTTTTCTTCTCTACCTTTTCCATTCAGGTGTGTTCTGTTGTTTCGTCCCCCCCATTTAAACAGCAAGTTTGAGGACAATGTGGTGAAATACACAGAAACCATTTCTATTTCCTCTCTCCGTACATTCATCAGAGACAATGTGTAAGTTTCTTTTATGCTTGTATATTTTGTGGATGATTGGTTAAACAGTTTGAACTCCACTTAAAAATGCAATTTGATTTATTGTGATTGTGATTCTTGGTCTTGTTGTTTTCATCTTGCTTTGCTTTTAGATTTGGTCTCTGTCCACATTTAACCGCAGAAAATAGGGACATTCTGAGAGGAAGTGATCTGCTTACAGCATATTACAATGTAGATTACTTACGAAATCTCAAAGGCACAAACTACTGGAGGAACAGGTGAGCACCCAATCGTTGGAATATCAGTGGAATCGTTCTCTTTATATCTGTTCATTTTTCATTGTCTCTTTCAGGATAATGAAGGTGGTGACACAGTTCCAGGATCGGGGTCTGAGTTTTGCAGTGGCAGATCGACAGGAGTTCCAGGATGAGCTTGAGGAGGAGTTTGTTTTGGGTTCGTCTGAGGGAGGTGACATTCCCCTCGTCACCATCCGGACAAGAGAGGGTCACAAGTACTCCATGCAGGAAGAATTCACGTGAGTTTTGCAACACACTAGACTAGTTTCTATACCCAGAGCTTTTCTGCTTACACCCAGT